TTTTTGAGACAGTCTCAGGAAAGAGAATTCTATCAGAAATTGGAGTACATGCTGTGTGTGTGTGTGTTCCATTCTGACAAATTTTTGTTGATGTCCTAAGATGTTAGGTAAGGCTGAATTTAAAGGTGGTGAACTAATTAATCTGATGGAGGAAATTTCAAAGCAGTCTAATATCCAGGCTGTGGCATGGGGGCTGCTGGCTGCATTTAGTCAGATTTGCACTAAAAATCAGGAGCCACAATCAGAGTTGAATGATGTGAAATATGGTCAGACAAGGCACCTGTGAAGTGAGGGTAAAGGAAAGTGGGGGTGACTTGAAAGATTAGCACTAAAGAGAACCCAAGTACTTTGCATCAGAAAATAGAAAAGATGCCTTGAGGGCATCTCATTTCAGCAAGGCCCCACACACTGTAGGCTCAAGGATGCAAAACTAAAATTTCATTTGAGAATTCCTGAGATTCCTGCTCATTTGGGGCCACCTAGGGAAGGGCATCCTCAAGTCAGCCATTCAGGAATTCAGAGGCTGCTGCAGCCATGGTCCACAGGGGCTCCAATACTGTTTAAGCTGGCAGCTAAACTTGGTGTCATCCACATAAAACTGTTTTTGTTCAGGTATGCTGAATGCAAGTGCTATGGAGTCACAGAGGCTTCCACCCGGATTTGTGGGGGAGGCTAGACAACAAGATGTTACAAGGTCACAATTTCTGCCAGAAACCCATGGTAGGGCAATGCCACAAGCTGTGAAAGTCAAGCCAAAAGTGCAGCGGAGACCCCAGGAAGTTGCTGAGAACATGGAACATCTGCTGAGGAAAGTTGCAGGCAGTGAACTGAGTGATCCCAGGAAAGGCCTGGTGGATGCAACCAGCAAGAACACAAGGGCAGGGCTGCTCAAGCCCTTTGGGGCTCATCTTACCACAACTTGCCCTCAGTGCTAGATATACAGCTATGGGATTTATGTCTACCTTGCTGGATTTCAATCTTGCTTCAGTCTGATTTCTACCTATTCATCTCTTCCTCTTGTTTGAAATGGGAATATTTGCCCTATACCACAGTATTTTGGAAGTGTTTAATATTTTTTATTTTTATAGAGGCTTACAGCTAAGAGTCTGCCTTGAGTCTCAGAGACTTCAGACTTTAATTTTTCAGCAACGCTGGAATTAAGACTTTGGTGACTCTTAGAAATGGATTAACAAATTCTGCCTAATAATTTGGACATATCCAGGCATGGTAGAACACACCTGTATTCCCACACTTGGAGGCTGAGGCAGGAGGATCATTATGAGTTCGAGACCAGCCTGAGCTACAAAGTGAGCTCAAGGCCAGCCTTAAGACCCTTTCTCAAAAAAAATAAAATAAAATAAAAAAATAAATAAAAAATGGAAACGAGCCTTTTAGGGGCCAGAGGTAGCATGTTACCATTAGATCTCCAATGTTGCCCAAAAGGTTCACATTTGGAGGTCGGGTCTGGCTAGAAAGGGTAGGTCCCTGGAGGCAGGACTTCAGTGTATTCGAGTCACCAGCACTTCCCTTCTGTACTTTCTGGCCATTGTAAAATGAACAGCTTTCCTCTACCACACATTCTAGCCAGGCTGTTTCTGTCTTGGAGCCTGCTGAGCATGAACTGAATCCACTGAACCTGTAAGCCAAAGCAAACCTCTCCTTCTGCAAGTTCTGGGAGTCAGGGATATTGTCTCAGTGGGGGGAAAAGGTGACCAATAGAAAATGTGGAGGGATGCAACCACCATGATAACATAGTAATTTAAGACTATCCTTGCAGGGCTGGGGAGATAGCTCAGGAGCATAAGTGCCTGCCTGGTAAGTGCAAGGTCCTGAGTTAGATCCAAAAATAAATAAATAAATAAATAAAATAATAAAATAAAATAAAATAAAATAAAAGACTACCTTGCATACTAGTGTGGAACCCTATTCCCCTAATCATGAAGAAGCACACAGTATGATGGCCCTACCCAGAGAGAAGGAACTAGGCAGCCAGCAGTAATCAGCCATTAAGAATCCAGGCTCTAAGTCTTTGAGGAAACAGATCCTGCCAAAACCTGAAGGTGTGTGGAAGATGTTCCCCAGTTAAGATTCCAAATGAAGAAGCATGTTGTGGCTCCTGGCATCCGAAGCCATCCAGGGCCCGGGCCCCATCGTGTGGGTTAGGGATAGCTGGCCATGGCCCTCCACTATCCCATGGCCGTGGGCCTCAACAAGGGCCACAAGGTGACTAAGAATGTGAGCAAACCGAGGCACAGCCGCCGCCGCTGCAGACGTCTTACCAAACACACCAAGTTCTTGCGGGACATGATCCGGGAGGTGTGCGGCTTCACCCCCTACCAGCGCGCCATGGAGCTGCTCAAGGTCTCCAAGGACAAGCGCGCCCTCAAGTTCATCAAGAAAAGAGTGGGACGCATATCCGCGCCAAGAGGAAGCGTGAGGAGCTGAGCAACGTGCTGGCCGCCATGAGGAAGGCAGCTGCCAAGAAGGACTGAGCCCCTCCGGAATAAAGCTTTGCACAAAAAAAAAAAAAAAAAAAGATTCCAGATGAAAGTGCAGTGTGGCTGTCATCTTGGCTGCAGCTTTTTGAGATCTTGAGCAGAGGACCTAGCTGAGCATCCTCAGAATCATGAGCACCAAAAACAGGTAGTAAATGTTTGTTCTCTTGAGTTAACACACTGGTGGCTATTTCTTTCACAACAGTAGAAACCTAATGACCCACATAAATACATCAAAGTGCAGAAACTTTGAAGTTAGCTACTTTGGTTGTTCTTGACATCATCATTCACACTGGTTCTATGGTGTTCTGCCCCCCACTCTCAGGCCCACCATCTAAGGGCACATGTGACCATACGTTGTGTCATCAAACAGGAATGTCTTTCAACCTAAGTACTATTAGTTCCAGGTCTGTTTCTCCTTGTGAGAACTTTCCCAGACATGCCACAACCCCGCATACCGTGAGCAGAGCTGTGACACACATTTAGCTTAAAAGATCTGCTAAAGGAAATAGTCTGAGCAAATCACAGAAAAGCTCAACCAAGATAAATCCCTACATCACTATATAGATGTAACAAAACCAAATTGAGACTATCAAAAGGGGAAAAATAGCTGTTGTGCAGGAAACAAGACTCTGAGAGCTACAACCAATGTAATACATAGCTTCTGAAATTACAATCACTGTCACCAACATGGATAGATCATATGCTATTTTTTAAGCACCAGGAAATACTTTTTAGAAAACTTACTCAAATAATTTACTATACATAATGATCCTTTGAGACAGATTCTACTATTACTTCTTTTTAAACATGTAAAACAGGAGCCCAGAGTGCTTACAGTGAAATCACACATGTAGTAAGCGGAATCAAGATGAACAGTACTCCCCCAACTACTGTGCATGCACATAACACTCCATCACTGAAAATGCGAACAATGATTGCTCACTTTTGCAGCGCTTGGTACACATTCTCACACCATGCTGGCATCTCCTTACACATACAATAAGAATGAAGAACAGAATAAAAGTCCCTTTGATCACAGCTGTTGAAGCTAATTCAAACTGAATCTATTAACAAATATGTGCCTGATTTGTGCACTTTTATGCAAACAAGTTAAAATACTATTATTCTATGCTTATTGCCAAATTTAAGGGAGAAATTCTTTGCTATTTAAAAGTTTGATAATAAGCATATGTACACAAAGTGCACAAAAAATATGCAGTAGACTTTTTCATCAATATACTAAATGGACTAAGTGCCTGCTTTGGCAAGTGCAGGGACCAGGATTCAATCTCTAGTCTTGCATGCTGAGATGGCCCCAACCCTGGCTGAGCTGGTGACCAAGTCCAGGCATGGTGGCACACCATCTGTAATCTCAGTGCTGGGGAGGCTGAAAACAGGAGGATCACTATGATTCCAAGCTGTGTAGTAAGACCCTGTACCAAATGCATAAATGGAAAAAAATCAATATAGTAAAATACAGAGAAGCTAATGACAGTGTGGAGAAATCCCGCTATTGTTTGGATAAGACTAGCTGCCAAAGGTTTGTGTGCTGTGTGGAGGATTGGTTTTTAGTGTGGTGATGTGGGTGATCCTTTAAAATATTGGGGCCTGGAAGATGAGGGATAAGGAGGTCACTGGAGGTGGGGCACTTAAGGGCTTTAAACTGCCCTTGCGGCTAGTCCCTTTCTCTATGGCTTGTTATAAGGCAGGGTTACACGGCATGTGCAGCCCTTTCTGTGCATGGCTGCTTTCCACCTTCTTCAGTGTACGGTGACAGTCAATGGTGCTGCTGGCAAGCGCTGAAATGATGGGGCCACCTTCTGTCAGACCTTCAGCCTCTAAAACAACGTGCAAATTCAAGTGATTTAGTAGAAATTTTGAAGCCTGAAGTATTTTGCCACAACAAAAAAATCAATTTGCTAATTTAAGTCACAGTATTTATTAATAGTAAATGAACACCACCCCTAACTCTAGATTCCAATAAGGAAAATTTCTAACATAAAATACTCTTATGTGTAAACTAAGTATTGTTGAGGAGGCTATTCCATGATCTGCAGGCTGGGTAGCTGCACTCCAGGCCTCTTCCCATAGGCAAAGATAGCTTGTCCCAACCACAATTGTAACAAAAAGTCCTCCAGAAACAGTGAAATGCACCCTGGCAGGCAATGTAACCACTCATATTTCATTGGGATATTATGAAATACCCTTTTATATCATATTTAATATTTCTATTTTAAAACTTAGATCTCCATTAGATAAAGTTGGCATTTTTCCTTCATTGCAAATTCTGATACATAAATTATACATATAAAAAGCCATCACATAGAGAATATAATTTTTCTTCAACTCTCAAGTGGTATCACTGCCCAATAAAGATATTCCCAAATTTGTTCCACTATTTCTATAGCTTCACATTCTTTTTAAAAATATTATTCCAATAGCTGACTTGGGGTTGAAAAATGGCAACATTGAGTTTTCCTCTGTATATGTATTTTTGATAAAAGAACTAAGTTACTGGTGGCACATTGCAATCACACAAAAAATGGAACAACAGAGATTTACTTCTCCCTGCTATAAAAAAAAATTAAGGGTACAGGTATACAGCTGGAAAGATCTTATTCTCTTCATGTCTTAACTCACAGTGACATTTTTTTTTATTTCCCAAGGTTGTCCTGACTCACCTGCACCTCAGTTTTCAAGACATGAGAAATTAGAGAAGTGTATGGCCACTGTCTTTTATGTTGCCAGGCTTGGACATAATGCTCATCACTGTCCATATTCTCCAAGAACCTCTCCATTAGCTAGTGATAACCAAAAGTTAAAGCCAGAAATGAAGACTGCATTACAGAGAGAATAAAATGGTTTTAGGAGACATAAGTAGTCTCTGCAATGAAGACTTTGCCATTAATCAAAGTGGGATTTCTGAGGAAATGATTCTATATTCGTGGTTGTCTCCCATGTAAGCATTTTAATGCTTGTTATGAATTTCAGAAAGTTTTCATCTTCAAATACATTCATAGGGCTTCTCCCAAGTGTGGTCATCTTATGTTTAATAAGCTTTAACTTCTGCTCAAAATTCTCTCCACACTGATTACATTCATATGGTTTCGACTCACTGTGATTTTTCTTGTGTTAAGTGGAGTCTAATGGAAGAAACTTCCATATTGTTGTTGTTTATATGGTTTCTGCCCTTTGTGAGAACCCTGATGGACTGTGAGGCTTGACTTTTGGCCAAAGGTTTTTCCACACTCATTACACTCAAAAGGTTTTTCTCCTGTGTGGGTTCTATGATGCCTACTAAGGTTTGATTTCTGGGAAAATGTTATTCCACATTGGTTACATTCATAAGGTTTTTTCCCAGTATGAATTATCTCATGTTTACTGAGATACGATTTCTGCCCAAACGTTTTTCCACAATCATTACACTCATAGGGTTTCTCTCCAGTGTGAGTTCTCTGATGCTTCCTAATGTAGGACTTCTGGCAAAAGGTTTTACCACATTCACTACATTCATAGGGTTTCTCACCTGTGTGAGTTCGCTCATGTATAGTGAGTGCTGGCTTATGGTAAAAACTTCTCCTACATTCTTTACATTCATATGGTTTCTCCCCCGTGTGAATACACTGATGTGTTCTGAGGTTTGACTTCTGGCCAAATGCTTTTCCACATTCATTACATTCATAGGGCTTCTCTCCTGTGTGAGTTCTCAGGTGACTGGTAAGGTTTGACTTCTGGTGAAATGTCTTTCCACACTCATGACATGCATAGGGCTTCTTCCCAGTGTGAATTACCTCATGGATAGTGAGAGTTGATTTCCGGCTGAAGGTTTTTCCACATTTATTGCATGCATAAGGCTTCTCCCCTGTATGAATTCTCTCATGGACAATAAGGTCTGACCTGTAGCTGAAAGATTTCTCACACTGATTACATGCATAAGGCTTCTTCCCTGGATGTTTATTCTGATGTATTATAAGGTCTAATTTAGTAATGAAGTTTTTCTCACATTCACCACATTCACAGGATTTCTGCCTTATGTGTGTCTGATGTGTAGTGAGATCACAGTTTCTATAAAGAGTTTTCTTCCCTATCTTAGCAATGAGAGCTGATTTCTCACAAGCTTTCCCAGATTCGTTATGCTCCCAACACACTTGCCCCACAGGAACCCTCTTATATGTAATACATTCTTTCAATAATTTAGCCTTGTTGACAAAGGCTTTCCATTGTGCGCTAGACTGAAAATCCTGCTGCCCAGTCAGAATCTTGGAATGCTGACCAAAATACTCAAGATACCTCAGGGATTTTCCCGTTATATTACACAAATGAGATTTCTCTGGAGTATCCATCTTACATGGCTCACTAGGGAGATGTGTGTTGTGACAAACATTTTCTTCAGGTTTCAAAACTGAATAGTTTTCATTATTTATAATCAAATCTGAAATATGGCTAGAGTTCAAATCAAAAGTATTTCTTAATTGAACTTGGTTTTCAGTTGATATGTTCTTGGTGGTGATTACAACTTGCCACAGATGTCTATCTCCACTTTGGTGACTCGTCTCAATTATGTCATCCACTTTCTGGACATCTAAAATCAAAAAAGATCATATACATCAATAACATCTAAGTATTTTCTATGGAATGCCTATGGTAAAATGAAAGAGATTCTACCTTACTGGGGTAAGGTTCTAATGAAGTTATAATGGTAACTGGTTTATAATGTATAGCTTTTCTTCCTAAATAATGCATTAGATTGTACTACTAGATTTTCTAGTGTTAAACTGCTTTTCTTTTTTTTCTATAACAGGATTAGATTTGGGGAAAATGTAAGAATCTATTTAACAAATTAAAAGGTGGTAATACACATGCAAATGCCCTCCTTAAAAACTATGTAATGCACATGTCTGATGGATGCAGACCAGCTATCCTCAGACCTGTGATCTGGGGTAAAACTGATCAAGAGCTGAACAGAGCCAACATCTACTCAGCTCATTTCTTCCCAGTCTCATAACCCAAAAAGCAGGGACTAACCTGGGGAGCTCAGATGTGGGGATTCTTCTCTCATCCATGGCTCTGCTCCTTGCTCTAGTTTAAAGATCACTGCAGGTTTAGTGATGCAATGGCCTGTTAATGGGAAGTAATATATTTGATAAAGTGCTATGTCAGGTTTTGTGCAGAAAGAAAAAAACTCAGCTTGAAGTGCTGCTTAATCAAGATGTCAGGGTGAACCCTTCATTAGAGAAAGGGGAACACTCACGTTCTTCATGAACTAAAAGTTTATACCCAATAGCATTGAATCTTGCTAGTGCTCACATACTTACTAAGGAGACACTTGCTCCTGAGAGTGATGGGGATTTCACTCACCCAACAACACCAGGCTGCGGTAGGTCTCCAGCATCACGTCCTTGTACAGGGTCCTCTGAGCATCATCTAGGTCCTGCCACTCCTCGCAGGTGAAGTCCACAACCACATCCTCAAATGACACCAACACCTGTAACAGAATATTTCTTGCTCATTAGCTCTGGTTACAAGAGAATGTAAAGTTCTGACAGTGGGAGTGGAGGTAGGTGTTCATAACACATGCAGCTTGCTTTGTATTTCACATTGTAGGAGAAAGGAAAGTCAAAAGACCTATTATATATCATACTTTTTAAAAAAATTTTATTTATTTATTTTTTTAACGTGTGTGTGTGTGTGTGTGTGTATGTGTGTGTGTGGCCAGCTCAGCCCACCAGGGGGCGGGGCGGGCTGGCATGTGGTGCTGGGGGATTGAACCGCGGTCCCTGTGCTTTGCCAAGCTTGTTCTAAGTAGGTGCTTTAGACCACTGAGCCATCTCACCAGCCCATCATACTTATTTCTTAATTACTAAAAATACTATGAGAAAATTTACCTTAAAAATCTAAAAACTGGGGCTGGTTTTAGATTTCTACTAGGGGAACTCATTACAGACTGTGTGATTCTGCCTTTACATTTGATTATATTCCAACAGAAAACAGTTTTGTCGCCTGTCAATTTTTAATTACATTAAAGTTGAAAGCATTCACATGGCATCCCACTCTCTCCCTTCTACATGTCACACAACTGCCTCATTTACTTCAGGTGAGCACTGCCACGCCTCAGATGGCAGCGTAAAGAATGTGGTCCTGGCAGAGCAGAGAGGTTAACTGAGCAGCTCTGCATCTCAACAGTCAGCTCCTAGTGAGACATGATGACCTCCGTCAGGACAAAGAAGTGAAAGTACACAGAGGCAGGCTGGGGAGATAGCTCAGTAGAATAAGCACTTGCCTGGCTAGCACACGGTCCTGAGTTCAATCCCCAGTACCGCAAAAAAACAAAAAATAAAAGAAATTACACAGAGGAAAAGAATTCTACAACAGACTCTATGGAGAAGAAAGAGAATAACAATATCTTGCTGAAGAAAGTATAGGGATATTTTCCGGAATGGCCAGATAGCTCAGTGGATTAAAATGCCTGCTTAGGCAGATGCAGGGACTGGGGTTTGACCCCTGGTTTGCCATATCAGCCCAGCCCCTGGGTTTACTGAGATGGCAACTGAGACTGGGGATGGTGGTACATGCCTGTAATCCCTGCACTGGGGAGAATCACTATGAAAACAGGAGAATCATTACAAGTTGGATCTGTGTAATGAGACCTTGTACCAAATACATTAAATAAATAAATAA